GGCTTATTTATATAAAACCTTTATCTTAATTACTATAAGGAGACTTTTGGGAATTTCTTTCTTTCTCAGCGTAATCAACAAACATGATCTGAATGTTGCAGAAAAATTCCAAGTCTCATATTAATCAGCGAAATAAAAATGGGGAAGTTTATAGTAGGGTGAGCCAATTCACCCTACTGGTAGGGTGAATTTTTCTCACCCTTAAATAAAAAATGAGCCACTTAAAATGATTGGTTGCATAAAAACTAAATTAGAGACTATAACACCTAATTAAACTTAAACAAAAGCCTCTTCTTTTCCGTCTCCGGTCGCCACCCCTGATGGAGTTTTCAGAATCGATTTTTGACACAACCCATATCATCAGAAAGATCTTGACTAGCTGAGTTTATTGACGTGCCGTGTGACCTCCACCTTGGCCGAAAACCGCCGTAATAGCCGGTGAAAGTCTAAAAAATAACTGAATTTTAAATCGTTGTAACATCGTCGTCCGACCTCCGATTGAGGTAATTCTGGTCTCGATGGACTCAGAACAACGAGAAGAGCAAAAATCTAAGATCACCCATCTATTCTCACCGAAACACCATCACCGGAGCTGCATAAATCAGCCGCCGTGGGTGAGAATGAGCCTGCCATTTGCCATTTTCCGATGACCATATGATGTGTAGTTGCTAGCAAAATGCTAAGAGGATCATGGGAAACAAAAGCCCTCCATTAATTTTGAGATTCCATTGCCGGAAATTGAGGTTCAAGTCGTTGGTTTTTTTTAAAAACATCCAGTTTGATTTGCTAGTTAAGAGGCCGAATTAGTTGAAATCGACCCAACCATTAAACTCAAAAGAATCAAATTAAAGGGGTAGGTCGAAGCTTCGTCGTGGAATTCACTTCTGTTCACTGTCGCCGTCACTCGCCATCACGCTGCAGTCCCCAGAGATGTAGGCCTCGTTCATTTCACCGATTCGAGTTTTCAGTTCTAAGTTTCTATAGTTAAAAGTTCTCAAAAAATGTCACATCTAACTTTCTATTACAATTAAAAGCTCTAAAAAAATATTACATTTCAGTTCGAATTGAAAACTCAAATTCGCGAAGTGAATTAAGCCGTAGAGCTCACCGAACTTTGTTCACATGGACTTTTTTTTGTTTTCCCTTTCTATTTGTTTTAATTATTTTTGTTGATATAGGCTAGAATTTAGTGTAGTTGAGATTACATAGACCTCATTGAGATTAAATTTAAGCCTTTAAATCGCATCCTACCAATAAGAAAAAAGGAGGTCACCCGACATGCCCAATAGAAATTAGTCGAGCACAACTGTCACTAGATTTAGGAGAAAATATCTAGCCGTCCCATTCAATCTTGTTATGATTGCAAAGACATTCCAATCATGATGGCTATAGGCCTCAAATGATTATACCTCTAGATTTCTTTCCCTCACAAAAAAAAGAATAAAATAAGAAATAAAAATAAAATAAAAGGATATTTTTTGAAAGAAAAATTGTATTTAATTAAAAACTAATAAACAATCATTTTGATACAATAATAATGACTCATTAAAGAGAGAACACATGTTTAAGGCTTGAAAATAAAAGAACATATAAGCACACTAACAACAAACACACGTAAAACTCGAATTGAAGAAACTCTTCTCATTGAGATAAACTTTTTAACACTAGAGAAACAAATTGCCAGACCTCACAAAAAGAGAATATCTACATGACAAAAAAAATTCTAACTGAACCAAGACAAACATACAAACAGTCTTAAACCGATCACAAAAAATTAATAATAAATAAGAAAATAAACGAGAATTAGGTGGGAAGACCACCGCTCTTGTTACAAATACAAAATTACATAAAAAAAGACATTCAAAACTAAAATGTTTTTTATTCTGGGAGTAGATGAAAATCAATATTATAATGTTCAAGAATAATCATTCACAGGTACTAATTTAGCTCGTACAGCTATATTGAGACGAAATTACTACTCATCTTTATTAGTCCTAGTTACTTTCATAAATAAATAAAAAAGTGATTTGAGCGAAGAGTTGGTTCAAATCGATATTTGGTAAAAAATTTTGAGCCTGTTTGGAACTCGTTCTAAAATAATTTTGTTTTTTATATGAAAATAAAAATGAAAACGTTTTCAATCTCAGACAAAAATTATTTTTAAAAATGCGTTTGGTAGTTTTATCAAGAAATTATTTTCAGTGTAAAAAAACCTATTAATGCCTCTATTTTCTCTCTCTGTGCTCGAGAGATGAGAAAATGAAAACAAAAAATGAAAAATGACTAAAAGTCATTTTTCATTTCTCTCTCATTTTACACTAAACTAAAAAATCGTTTTCATTTCTGTTTTTTGTCTTTATTGTGCCAAACGCCGTTTTAAAAACGTTTTTATTTTTATTTTTTCGAAAAACGTGAAAAACAAAAACGGGATCAATTTTAAACACGGCCTTTAAGTTTTGATTCAAAATACTTTGATTTTTTGAACAAAAAAACCCATAAATCTGGTTTTCAAGTGATTTAAACCACTTTTAAAAAAAAAAAAACATTCAAACCACTTTTTCAAAAAAAAAAAAAAATTCAAACCACCATATTCCGAATATGTTTATACTCTTAACTTTATAAAACCCCACCATTATACTATTTCAGTAAAACCAAAAAAAGAAAAAAAAACACTATTCAATCAAAAATCAAACGCCAGCAATGTAGAAGTCTAAAAAAATAAAAAAATAAAAAAAATAAAAAATTCTCACCCCGAGCCAAAAAAACATAGCGGACCACCCAAGTTGTGATTTTTAAAAAAAAAAAATTAAGAATAACCCAAATTGTGATTTATTCTCTATCTGGTTTATACAGTATTATCGTTTATTTTATGAGAAAATTATGTATACTATATGTTTTTTACTATCTTTATATTTATATTACTCAAATATAAATTTGTGCGACTTTATATTTTAACTGATGTAATAAAAAGACATTGTTTTACTATGCCATTTCAATAATATAAATGTTAATTGGTATTAAGTTCAATATATATATATATATATATATAGTGCATTGAAAAAATTATATCAACTTTTTTTTAATAAATCATATTACATTTAAAAAGTATAATAATTTAAGAATAATACTAGAAACACCAACTCAAAATTTTAACTCTTGTATGTAATTAATATGGCGTATGAGTTGTCATGTTTATATTAGTGGGTATTTAAAATATTGCCATGCTAATTAATAAAAGAGATTGCATTGACCAATAAAAAAATGACAATTTAAATGTCATATCAGTTAGTACATAAAAATTGATATTTAAATTCGTATTTTAACATTACTTATAATTTAATAGACTCAATAGAAAATCTTTTTTTTTTTTTAATAATAAGCGATAGAAAATCTCACCTTTAAATACTGTCATATACTGATATAGCCTACTGGAGAATTCTCCATCAAGTTTATATAACAACACCACTAATTTAGAATTTAAATTTGGGACTTGTTTAGTTTATAGATTCAAATTAAATTATTTAACTTAAAAATTTAAATTTTTAAATTTTTTGTGAGAAAAAATACTGTAATAAATTTGTTTAAAATTCAAATTTTTATAAAAGAAACGCTTTTAGCAGAACTTTGAAGTGGGATTCATCTCTAAGAACGGAGCTAGCTAAGGCTGAGGGGAGTTGCACGGTCCCTTAAGTCATCTAGCTCCTTTTATATTTATCTTTAAAGTTATAATTTTACCCCATATTTTCTTGTATAATCCCCCCTATTTTTTTTATTTCTAAGTTTTATATTAATTGTTTTAAAAGTTTTCATTTATACCCTATGTAAAATTTATTACTTTGTCCCTCTAAAATTTTTTGATTCTAAATTTTATGCAAGGTATTCAAAATTATTTCATTTACCCACTTAATTTTTACTTGTGATTATATTTTATTACATACTTAATTTAATTTAAAAGTTTAGTTTAACTCAAGCTTCACTTGAAAATTTTTCTGGCTTTGTTTCTATTCATCCCTCTACCAAATAGGCCATTGGTTTGAGAGATATGCATTGCATTGCTCTGAAATTCTTTGAATTTTTTTATAAAAAAATTAAACAGTTTTTTCAGAATCTATTATAAAAATTCAAAAAAAAAAAAAAATCCCTCGTTCGCTTAAGAAAAAAATAACAATAATAAGGAAAAAAAAAAAGAAAAACAGGGAAACAAGAAATGGAGTGGAACCTAATGAGAATTGAAAGCCACCATGATAAGATAACTCATGTGGTCATACCATAATAGTACAGAAGCCGTACTCACCCGACATTGTCCACATGCAAATAAGAAATAACACATCATTTCTGATTCATCATGTTTTGCCTTCATTTACTAAGTTGAGAGAGAGAGAGAGAGAGAGAGAGAGAGAGAGAGAGAGAGAGAGAGAGAGAGAGAGAGAGAGAGAGAGAGAACACGTACGAGAAGCTTCTTTTTTTTTTTAATAGCAATTATTAATATTTTATATGCATGGCTGTTATTAAAAGTTTCTTATAACAAAAGTACTTCTGCGTTAAAGTCTGCTCCAGCTTAGCAAAGATTTTTCTTCTTTTCTCTTTCTCCTCCTTTTGATTCTCTCTTTCATTTTCAGTTTCACATTTTTCCAGCCAAAAGATAGATGGGTTTTGATTTTCCTTTTTCCTTTTTGGTTGTGAAAGTTGAAAACTCAGAACAGCCAATGCCATTCACATATAGTGCGATGAGTCCATTTCTGTGGTCCCTTGAATATCGCCCATTTGACCCAATGTTCAGTATTTCTGCCTCAATCCTTCTTTTTCCTTACTTGGATTTTAATATTTCAACCCTTTTTTTTTGTTTATTTATTTTTCTAATGGTAGGGTCACTTCATATCTTGGCTGTGATTCAATGGCAAAAATCATATATACATAGACACACACACACACACACACACACACACACACGCACACACACACATATGAATGTATTTATATATGGTCATCAATTATTGGTTTTTATTTATTGTTGCTTAATATGATAAATCTTGGGTGCTTGTCTTAATCAGGTATTGATTTATTTATTTTTGGGCTGATTTGTGGTGGAGAATAGTCAATAATAATACTTGGGTCACTCTGATTCGGAAAACAGGTAAAAACAAAAGACAGCATTTTACATAACTATGAAACCCAGTTTGATTTTCCTATTCCTTAGTTGTGCAAATAGCCGTTTTGTGTATTAATTGTTGGCAATTATTGTACTTGTGTCTTTTTTTAAATTAAATCTGTTTTCTAAATCCCAGTTCTCACTAGTCACTACCTGTCAATGCCTTATCAAAATGGCTGTAGCATCAACTTGATTAAAACTTTAATACATGATTTGTTATCTTTGAAAATGACATTTTTTTTTTTTTTTAGGGAGGTGGTTCTTGTTCTGTTTTGCTTTGTTTTTATCCGTTTTAGTGAATTTTCTATTATACCATGCGGTTTGTTATGTATCTGAAAGCGGCTACGTGGGTGGGGAGGACCATTGATTATTCCTCTTCCTTCTTCTTCTTCTTTTTTTTTTTTTTGGTCTACCCCTTCAAGTTGAGGTTGTGGATGTCTGTTCATTACGTCCATACTTTTGTTGTCCCGTTTATTTAGTCATACAAATAAGCTCTCACTCGTAAGATTAGCACCTAATTTTTGTAATGGTCCTGAAAGAAATCTCTATATGTTTTTTCGAAAAAAAAAAATTTATAATAATTAACAGTTGATAATGTGATGGCTAAAGCTGCTTCAATATTTAAGAACCTGTGCTTTCATGGTCTTTGCATATAAATAGTGCATCTGGGATTCAACAAAAAAATTTTGATCTCGAGGCAGTGATGAAAACCAATAGAGGAAAGCGCTCGGAGGTATGCGTTTTATTATCCGGTTGTTCTTATTTTTCATCTTCTTTTCGTAAGAGACCAGATTTTTATAGTTCTTGATGTTTTGTTTGGTTTTCTGCATTTCATGGCAGGCTTTTTGGCCTTCCCTTGTGATGAAAAAATGGTTAAATATACAGCCTAAGGTGTATGAATTTAGTGAGGATGAGGTTGACACTGAAACCGAAAGCGAAGATGATGGTATGTTCTAAGCAGTTAAGCACATGTATTAGTAGTCTTGCTTATGCTTTTTAAGCTTGATATCATTTCCGTGTCTCTCTTTCAGCTTGCTCTCTAAAAGATGCGAGAATGCACGACTTTGAGGGTCATGCCAGTAGGATGCAAAGGAACCAAACTGTGTCAAGTCAACCTTCAGGCAATACACTTGATATGTTCGAATTCTGTTAGGAATGAAATTCTTTTGTTGTTCTGAAATTCATGTTCTGTGATGTGCATCTAATCTCTTCTTTGTCATGGCCGGAAGCTTGTGCATCGAATTCTGCCTTTGTTTGTTATTAGTCTTTGCTGCAATGATTTCGTGGTTTTGCTTCTTTTGGATTTTCAATTTTTAAGAATTTCCATTTTGCTATTACTATTTTCCTAACAATCTACTTACTTTTAAAATTGACTGGGTATATTTCCGTCACACACACACATATATTATATGATTCAGCTTTCTATATTTTCTTTAGAATCCTTAAAATATTTAGAAAAACATCCATGATTTTGATATTTGTTTGTTCAGATACAGTCTCTAAGGGATATCAGTCAAGGCACAGGAGAGGAAAGTCGGAAACCCTGCGTGTCCAGTATATAAACACAAAGGATCTGAGGTTTGGCTCTTAGCTATTTATGCTTGCGATGATTCCTGAAAGTGCTGCTAACGTGGTTCTTACTGGAATGAATTTGGGGCACTTGGTTCTCTGTAGGGTGACAATTGGCAGTTGGAATGTTGCAGGAAGAATTCCAGGAGAAGATCTTGATATCGAAGATTGGCTTTGCACTGAAGAACCAGCAGATATTTACATTATTGGGTGAGCACTTCCTTCTAATTAAAAGAAACATGCACGGATTTGTAATATGCTGCTTGTAGGATCATTGTTTTGTTCCCCTTTGATAGTGAGGCTTTGAAAGTATTACAATACATAAGATCATGGATGAATTTTATTTACTATATAATCAATTTGCCTCATCTTTTTAAGGACTTATGTCAAAATGTTTATCACAAGGGAAGACCCTCTTGTGCTCCGAATTTGCCCCAGTGAATCTCTAAATAGTCAATATTCTTGTGTCAATTGATATATTCACTGTGAAAGATTTTTATTGATGATATGATTAATCTATCTGCCTTTTACAGATTCCAAGAAGTAGTTCCTTTGAATGCTGGGAATGTGCTGGGAGCTGAAGATAGCAAACCGATTCCAAAGTGGGAGGCAATCATTAGAAAAACGCTGAACAAATCCTCGGAACCTGGTATTATACACAAAAGTTTTAGCGCCCCTCCATCTCCTGTAATGAGGACATCTTCAGTTGCTGATGTACTTGCAGATGAGATTGATGCACATCCATTAGATTTAGTGACCAATGAATATGATGATGGGTTTGGCTTGGAAGGAGAAGAAATTAAAAGGGCAGTTGGTAATGGGAAGAACTTGCGGTTGAAGCGAATATACGGGATTGATTGTGATAGTAGATTAGACTGGCCCGAACATTCACTAGATGCAACCCCTCAAGTTATCTCCTCCAACTCGAAGCTGCGGAGAGTACTGAGCAGTTGTGCAAGAATTGGCTTTAATTCTTTGGACAATCCTCCTATGTTCACTCTTCCACTAAATAATGCTAGTGGGTTGAAAAGATCACATCACAGCTCTGGAAACCTTGGCTTGATGTGGATGAAGAAACAGGAGGACCCCGGAGTTCTTGACCCCCTACCAGACGTGTCCAACATTCCCTCTGAGGGAGAAGAAGAAGACGACACTTTTGATGAAATTCCAGATGACCAATTTGCTAACGAATTTATCAAGACTGTGAAGTCGCGTCCTAGATACGTGAGGATTGTCAGCAAGCAGATGGTAGGGATATATGTCTCGGTCTGGGTGCGTAAGAGGTTGAGGAGGCACATAAACAATTTGAAAGTTTTTCCTGTTGGCATTGGCCTAATGGGCTACATGGGAAACAAGGTACCTCCTTTCTTTTTCCATGATAGAAATGCTCCTTTTGTGACAAAAAATGTTGCTTCCCCAAGGAAGTCGTAAGAAAGTTGAAACTCAATGCCAACATGGGATGTTCTGCTATATTTTTGGCAGGGTCTAGTTAGCAGTTATTTAGGAAATGACATATGATAATACAGTTAAAACTGATCTATTGTTTGACATGCTGGCCTTGTGTTTATTTGCAATCATAATATTTTATGGTTGATGATGTAGGGATCCGTTTCGGTAAGCATGTCTCTTTTTCAATCACGGTTGTGCTTTGTTTGTTCACATTTGACCTCTGGTCAGAAGGAGCGGGCCGAACAGAAGCGTAACTCAGATGTGTATGAAATTATACGACGTACCCGTTTCTCATCGGTTGTATGTGATCAACCACAAACAATTCCATCACACGAGTAAGCATTAGATGTGCATTAAAATTTTACTTTGCTTATGAAAAATAGTGTTGCCCACTTTATTTTGGTGTTAAATTAGGTGTCTCTAAAAGTTTACCAAATTGATCCCATCTAGCTGCTCACTTTGGTGATTTTACAGTTGAACTTCTCTCTTAATTGTTTCTTTCTTTTCCTTAAGATGAAATCTGATGGGGTGTTCTCCTAAACAGTCAAATATTCTGGTTTGGAGACTTAAATTATCGCCTCAATATGTTGGACGAAGATGTAAGGAAGCTCATTTCTCTGAAACGATGGGATGAACTTATAAAGAATGATCAGGTGAGACACTAAGTTCTGATTTTGAACAACCATGTCTTCTAGTCCAATCTGTTTGCTTTTTCCTTATTACTATGAAATTCTTTTCCCCTTGAATTCATTTTAATATGTCAACTAACCTGGGGAAATCTGTCTCAAAATACGAATGACAAACAGTCAAACACCATTTTGGACAATTTTGGATCCCCATTTGACATTAGTACTGTGATCTAGATTTAATGCATCTCATAGTAGAAATATCATTTAGCTAGCAGGGAACAGAACCTTACAAAGTTTAGTACCAGATAGAAAATGCTACAAATCTTGAGGCATTATTGCGGTCTGAAAGAAGAAAATTTAAACACCCTACCAACGAATTCTCCTTTTAACAGAACTTGATGCAAACTGTCAAATCACATTAAAATCATATCAGATTAAGAAAAGTATGTCCTTTTAACAGCAATTGATGAAAATATAACGGTTAAAATAACTGTCCTACCGACAGAGTATTTTTTCATACCCTACCAAAGAATTCTCCTCTCTTTTCCCTTAATGAGACATTGAAAACTAAGATTGATTGAATGTTGATTGGATTATTATCAGGACTAGATTTTTGTTTTTTTGAAGTTCGCTTAGACATATAGTATTTGGATATTCTCCATTTTTCTCTAAAAGTTTCACCCCGAAAGATGCCAAGATAAAAAGAAATAACATAACCTTCTTTCTTGCCATGGTGGAATTTTTTCTTAATGTGTTCACCTAATGTGGCACAGCTAAGCAAGGAACTTCGCAGTGGGCATGTATTTGAGGGATGGAAAGAGGGGCTCATTGACTTTCCACCCACCTACAAGTATGAAATCAACTCTGATAGATATGTTGGCGAGAACCCGAAAGAGGGAGAGAAGAAGAGGTCTCCAGCCTGGTGAGTACTATTTTCTGGTACTCGTAATTGATTGCTTGGGAAGAAAGCTACATATTTGATATTCTTTACACTTAAGTAGCTTCATATTTCTATTACTGCTTCACTTAACTTGTCTTGGAATCAGAATTACAAACATTTATGACCATGCATTGTTGGATGCTTGGTATGCAATTATAGGTGTGACAGGATACTATGGCTTGGAAAAGGTATAAAACAACTTTCCTATAGACGGACGGAATTGAGGCTCTCAGATCATCGGCCGGTCAGTTCGGACTTCCTGGTTGAAGTTGAAGTCTTGGATCATAGGAAGCTACAAAGGGCTCTCAATGTCAATACTGCAGCCGTACATCCCGAGATTTTCCCAGATGAAGACATGGACTCCGAATATTAGAAGAGACCAGGTAACTATCCTCATGAGTTCTCTCTTTCATTTCTTTTTTTGGCAATTGAAATCATAGTTTAGTTTAACGAAATAGCTTCCACTAAGAACAAATGCATGTTTTTACTGCCAAGTTTGTAAAAGTTTCTGATTGATGGGCCAGAATAGTCTTAGCCTAGGGTAATCTACTTTGTCATATACCTTCTCTGAACACAATGGAAAAAATGATAGCTTGTAGTTGAAGAAATTTTGGAGCCCAAACTTATGAACAATTATAGTACTCATCTTCAGTGTTTTTGCTAGTTACTTTTTCTTCCAAAACCATGCCAATGGTATTTATTGTTTGGGGTTGGTGTGACATTCAGTTCACGGTGGTTCTGCTTAAGAAATACATCTGCAGATTTATAACTCGAACACGGAGCTTGCTCTTCTTGTAACGCGGATTTCGTTCTGAAGCAGGTTCGTCGGGAATTACACTGACAAAAGTTGGAGGACTGGTATGTTTTCTGGACAATGCATTTCAAGATGCTGCCCATCAGGTACCATGGCCACAAGACCAGCACGCAGATTAGAGCTAGGATAAGAATCAGTTTCTGAACCTGACTGTGTGAGTTATACTATAACTGTACAAGGATTTTGTCAATGAGAATAAGGTGTGAATGTATATAGGAAGCCAAAAAGTTCTATTTTAATACAGAGAGCTAAAAGTAGTTGTGTTCTTAATTGGGTTATAGTGGTTTTGGATTTAGGTACATCCATTATTGGTTCCTATGTAATAACATGTTTCTTTTTTCTCTCTCTTTTTTTTTTTTTTTTTTTTTTTGGGAATTTTTGTTTGGTGGGGTACTAATTTAGAGTTGTATCTTGTATTTTTTCTGAATCAGACAGCAAAACAACAATATATCTCTTTTGTCTAGGGGAAAAAAAAAAAAAAGAAAGGAAAGAAAGTTGCAAATTTAACTTTGGTGGGTTCAGATTTTTAGAAGTTGGTCCAACTACTAAGCAAAGTGGAATATTTTTCCTTTTTTCATATGTTAGGCTCATACTAACCTGACCCCACCAATTATATCTAAACCATTCATCATACCAGTATTGGTCCATCCATGTGAGACCAGTATGATTAGTCATAAGATAGGGACACTGTCAATGTGTCTGGCAGTGTGCTAGAACTATTTGTTTGATATCACACTAAAAATGGCATTACTGCTATGAATTCTTGCCTCTAGTGACTTCAAGACTTGTCAACAGTGTTTTATAGGCCCTCTTCATCTTTTCATCTAGTTTTCTTTTCAAAACTTTAAAAAGAAAACAAAAATAAAAATCACACGCATTTGACTTCGAGTTAAAAGAAACAATAGTTTTTATTTTTTTATTTTTTTTTTCACGCATTATATAGTTTAACCTTATACTCAATATTATATATGTAATGTATCTAATTCAAAGTTAAAATATAATTAGATGGGAAGAATAACTGGAATATGGTTGGGGATCCCTAAAATCCTTACCCTGTTATTTCACGACATGTAAAAAGTCATACATAAGCTCGATTAGATCATATTTTACACTCCCCTTTAAAAGCGGGCTTCTATGAATAAATGAGTTAGCGAATAAGATAATCCTCTCTAAATCCATCGTTGAAACTGGAATTGATATATATTACAGAAATATATGGGTAGATGGGTTATTCTTGATCATTGATCTGAGTTTTTTTTTTTTTTTTTTTTTTTTTTTTTTTTTTTTTTTTTTTTTTTTTTTTTTTTTTTTTTTTTTTTTTTTTGGTGACACCGGAACTGTAACTATTCCATCTCACAAAACAAGTATTGTTGAACTAAAAAAGAACTTAATTTCTTAAATTAGATGCATTATAAAATTATTTTCCACCCCGCTAAAAACCATGTTAAATGACAACCAAAGTTAGTTTTATTTCTGGGGAAAAATAGAAAAATAGGTCAAGACTTGAGATGAATTAAAATTAATAGGCCAATAGTTTACATAAGTTAATAAATAGGCCAAATTACTGTTTTCGTCCGTAACTAGTCTGGTTATGAATTATAACTTGACAAGTTATTATTCATAATTGTCCATAACTTGTCTGGCTATGAACCATAACTTGACAAGTTTATTCATAACTTATCTGATTATGAACCATAACTTGACAAGTTATGGCCTATTAATTTCTATAACTAGAAATTGGCCTATATACTTTCTTAAGTTTTTCATATTGGCCTATTTTCTACTATTTCCTTTATTTCTATTAAAAGAGAAATCAAAATACCTAAAAACGATATAAACTTTAACTTAAAAAATTTAAATACTATAATAGATTGATAATTCCATCAAAAGAAAAATAATAGATTGAAGACGACTACTTAAAATGAAAAGACAAACGACAACAAACATCATACAAATGAAATATTAAAACGTCAATGATATAAAAATGACAACTACATGAAAATGTCAAGAAATTAGAAGTGACAACAAAAACTACGTGAATTCGAAAAGACAGTAACATGAATAAAAAAGCAAACTTAAAGCCACAATGAACATTGAACACCAATTACTGAAAAAATGACAGAAAAGAAGAAAAACGACGGAACATGAATAAACACATAAAAAATCAAAAGGACAAATCTTTTGGAAAACAGCATTAACTTTACAAACTACAATGAAATTTGTGGATGACAAAGAAATAGAAGACAACAACCTTGAGACGAAAAGTAGAACGACAAAAAATAATTTGAAAATCGATTTAGGAATCTAAAAACGACAAGTATCAGTAAAGGACGACGATGAACGACCAAAAATAATTTGAAAACTGACTTAGGAATGTAAAAACGACAAGCATTTGTAAAGGACGATGACCAAAAATTGGATTAAAAAACACTTTTTTTTTTTTCTCTTTAAGACGGCTCCTAATTTGAGAAGCAAAACAACGTTACAACAACATGAAAAACTACTAGAACAACAAAACCACTAAATCGGAAAAACGACATAACCTCTAAAGCTTCGACAAAGACATAAAAAATCCCGTCAACTATAAAAACGAAAACCACAGAAAACGGGGCAGAAAAAAAAATGATGCTACTACTATCATGGTTTGTGGCCATTCTGGATATTTAGTGCTAACTTCAAATCTAATTGGAACTGCGTGACAAAGTATGAAATTAGACATGGTAGTAGGCCTAACTTAGGGGTAATTCTAACACCGACTCCATTATATATGGTGAAGAATTCAAATCCCGTCACTCAAAGCTTTTATTTATTTTATTTTATTTAAGTAAAAAGTTAAATAGATCTCACACGGCTACATATATGGTTTTCAATATCTTTGCAAATTTATTATGACTCAAAAAATCCTAATTTGGTGATTGGCTTAACTAATGGTAAGTCCACACCAATGACTCACCTTAATGTTGTAGTTTAGAATTCGGATCCAACACCCTGAATAATATTATATATATATATATATATATATATATATATTTGTGTTGTGTATATTCCAATTTGGACTGAGAGCAGGTAAGATTTCTTTTCCCCCTTTCTGAAGGAAGGTAAGATCTATTGGCTACCAATTATAAAAATGAAATAGAAACGTGAGCCATTAGGTATTTTTGGTTGCACCAAGCCACCAAACTTGATATATAAGGACACTATTAGGGAATTTCTTTATGGATCACAAGTTGTTTTGAAAAATGAGAAAGAAACATAACACACCAAGAGTGGAACGGCCATATTTGTCTGACTATAATTAGCTATATAGCAAAGAAGGGAATATGTGATTACAACATTCATGTGTTGAGAACCATTCTTTCTATTTTCCTATAATGGGGTATTTCAATGCGATATTCTTGATCATTGCATTTTTAGCCTTGGTTTTGCGTTGCACTGAAACTTTGAGTGAGGATGTGCCTCTCGTGTTTGACTATTACAAAGAGACTTGTCCGTTGGCGGAAAACATCGTGAGGCGTCACGTTGCGATTGCATTGGTCAGAGACCCTAGAATGGCTGCTTCTCTCCTCCGCTTGCATTTTCATGATTGCTTTGTCATGGTTCTTTCTCTCTCATTCTCTACATTTATACTTTTACAGTAAATAAGCTGCAATGTCAATATTTATACTTAAAAACTTTTATGAACCCTTCAAGATGGTGCTTTCTTTAAGGGGCATAAGTTGTCATTTAGAATCATATCGAAATAAAAATGCTACATAAATATGATGGATCAGAAGTACTCTTTTTATGCTACTTAAAATGACTCTCGAAAACATGTCACATTTATGATAGTCTATTTCTTATTGGGAAAAGGGAAAAAGGGTATGATCATGATATTTGTTTCACACCTTTTATCTTGGATATTTGGATCTATAGCTAATTGTTTTATATTATTATTATTATTATTATTATTTTCTTTTGTTTGGAGATACACAGGGATGCGATGCATCAGTTCTTTTAGATAGCTCTGAAGGTATAGTGAGTGAAAAACAGGCTGGTCCTAACTTGAATTCACTGAGAGGATATGAGGTCATTGATGAGATCAAGTACTACTTGGAAGAGTCATGCCCTTATAAAGTTTCATGCGCTGATATTCTAGCCATTGCTGCTCGTGATGCTGTGGAGCTGGTACACTCTCTCTCTCTCTCTCTCTCTCTCTCTCTCTCTCTCTCTCTCTCTCTCTCTCTCTCTCTCATGTAATAGCGTGCTTATGATAAAGAAGTTAATGAAATGTTGGGGTTATGTTTAATTGTTTATGTATAATTGTTTTACCATAATTTAGTACTGAGGTGTTGGGAGTACACCACATGTGAAACTGACCCAACACACTTTATGAGCGCAACTTGACCCAAAAAATTAACCTATTAGGTCTTGAGTCCTTCTACGTATATAAATCACTTCACATTCTCATCAACTTTCCATGTGGGACAACACACATGCACTTTTCTCAACAATCCCCCCTCATGTGTGTGTTCACTGAGCTCCCCTTCAAATTAAAGTTTCAAGTAGCCGGCACATCCAAGCATCACACTCCAAATGGGAGCCGACTCAAGCATGGGAAAGAGAGCCAAAACCATGCGAGTCCACCAAATGCTCCACCATCCGCGCACCTTCGGGAACACCAACTCTCCACGGGAGGCAACGTGGAAACCGTAACCTAGTGTGATCGCTTGATCCATACGAACCATCGGCTCTGATACCACTTGTTGGGGAGATACCACATACGAAACTGGCCCAACACATTTCAGGAGCCCAACTTGACCCAAAAGATTAACCTATTAGGTCTTGGGTCCTTCTATGTATATAAATCACTTCACATTCTCACCCACTTTCCATGTGGGACAGCACACACGTGTATTTTTCTCAACAATCACCCCCTCATGTGTGTGTTCACCGAGCTCCCCCTCGAATTAAAGTTTCAAGTAGCCAGCACATTCAAGCATCACACTACAAACGGGAGACAACTCAAGCATGGGAAAGAGAGCCGAAACCATGCACCAAATGTTCCACCATCCGCGCACCTGCGGGAACACCAACTCTCCATGGGAGGCAACGTGGGAACTGCAACCGAGTGTGATCGCTTGACCCATATGAACCATCGGCTCTGATACTACTTGTTGGGGAGACACCACATGCGAAACTGACCCAACACACTTCAGGAGTTCAACTTGACCCAAAAGATTAACCTATTAGGTCTTGGGTCCTTCTATGTATATAAATCACTTTACATTCTCATCCACTTTCTATGTGGGACAGCACACATATGCACTTTTCTCAACATGAGGAATATCAGTTGAACAATTTCTTGGAGAGGTACAAAAACATTTCAAGTTTGCATCACTGGAAAGTATTAGTACTGAAATCTTCATGAAGAACTATGATGCAAACAATCCTAGCTCGGAGTTAACATAGCTTGTAAACAATTGGATTAGTTAGTTGTATCAAGGCTTTTGTTCCAGTAAATGCATTCAATAATTGCTGACTTCATAGTGTTTTTGGAGATTCTATGGTGGGCATCCCCGTGCCTATAGGGGCCATTTACCCTACGATTTAAATAAAACAATCCTAGCTTGACCCATACAAACCATCGGTTCTGATACCACTTGTTGATGAAACACCACATGCGAAACTGACCCAACACACTTCAGGAGCTCGACTTGACCAAAAAGATTAACCTATTAGGTCTTGGGCTATTCTATGTATATAAACCACTTCACATTCTCATCCACTTTCGATGTGGGTAAATGCATTCAGGCCTCGTTCACTTTGCGGATTCGAGTTTTCAATTCGAGCTGAGATATGACATTTTCTGAAAGCTTTTCACTGTAGCAAAAAAAGTTAGATGTGACATTTTCAGAGTTTTTTTACTGTAAAAACCTAAAACTGAAAACTCAAATCGGTAAAATGAACGAGGCCTCAATAATTGATGACTTCAGAGTGTTTTCGGAGATTCTATGGTGGCCATCCCCGTGCCTATAGGGGTCATTTACCCTACGATTTAAATAAAATAATACTTATTAAGTGGATTATCCAACCCTTATAGAATATGCATTGTCCGATTTAAATCTTACGGTTATAATCAATGATCCTATGATATCCCACACGGGCGCATTTTTTTATTTATTTATTTTGTCTTTATAGAGAGGAGGGCCTAGATGGGAAGTTTTGTTAGGGAGGAGAGACTCACTTGAAGCAAGCTTAAGCGGAGCCAATCAGTTGATTCCTGCACCCAATTCATCTCTTGAGACTCTCATTGCCAACTTTGAACAACATGGACTTGATGTGGGAGATTTGGTTGCTTTATCAGGTAAATTCATCATTTCCAAGATGAGAATTCAATATTGCAGTGCTGTTTATTTATGCATCACCAGTGCATTTCAAGGGTACCAATGTGAAAAGGCTTGAAATTAAGAAATTGCTTTATTTTAATTTGTATCCTCATAGAATGAAACATGACAATAGACTTATTTTTATACATTTTTTTTTCTTTTGAAACAATACGATTACTTTTAAAGAATTATTTCCTAGCTTCTCCAAAACAAGTTGATTACTGTAAAGCTTGAGATTATCTGCCTTTAGAATCAGACAAAAAAAAAAAAAAAAAACAATGCGGAAATAATTATTTCTTTATTTTATTTGATCATGAGATGATCGTCACACATGCAATATCAGCCATTGAACAAAGATTAATTTTAATGTCATCATGAGCAGGGAGCCACACAATGGGGAAGGCAAGATGTTTAAGTTTCAGGCAGAGGATATATGACGATTTTAAATACTCCAGAGAACATAATGACAAGTACAAGAGATACACCACCTTTCGAAGAATGCTCCGGTCCATGTGCCCGGAATCCGGTAAAGATCACAAGTTGGCCCCTCTTGATCACCTGACTCCGGCCAAATTCGACAACCATTACTTCCTCAACATTCTGGAAGGAAAGGGCTTGCTAGGATCCGACACCGTTCTTGTCACCCAGGATCACGAAGGGGAGATCCTAAAGCAGGTTTGGGCATATGCCTCTGATGAGGAACTTTTCTTTGCTTCATTTGCAAAGTCAATGGTCAAGATGGGAAACATCAATGTCCTCACAGGAGACCAAGGACAAATCAGAAGAAACTGTAGGTTTGTAAGCACCTAAGAGGCAGAATGAGTACTGTTAACTCTAAGATGTGCTTAGCCGAGAGTGTGTTTCACTGTTCTCTTTCGTGTTTTACCTTAGATCTTTGAGTTCTACACTTTCTCTAACTAAATTCTGTATTTGTGCTTCTCTCGGGTTAAGTTGGAAGAATTTGGATCAAAAAGAGGTTGAAATTTGTCTAAGACTTGGTTGTGTTTTGCAGGAATTAAGTACTAAAATATTTCAACAGCTCAATTGTCAAGCACAATATATAATTGCTCTTGCTTTGTAAAATTTTGGAACTCATTTGTATTTTTTTTTTTTTTTTGAAAGTGAAATGTATTGCATTAAGCCAGATCGGCATTTATAACATCCACAGTACAATCAGGAACTTCCTCTAACCAATAACGATCATAGTCTAAAGAAAGAGCAAATTGCGCTAGCGTGTGGGCAGCTCTATTACACTCTCGCGACATTGAGCAGCAATTACCACCGCCAGCCTCAGTCATCATATTTCTGGTGTAATCCACCACAGCTCCCACTTCTGCAAGAACATATAGGGACTGTATACAGCTGGCTGCGACAGAGGAGTCTGTTTCAATCACCTGCGCCCATGAACTCATTTGTAAGACCTGTTCATTTCACCGATTTGAGTTTAGAAGTCAAGTTTTGTTATAGTAAAAAGTTCTTATAAACAGTTACATCTAATTTTTTTGTTACAGTAAAAAGCTCTTACATAAAGTCACATCTCAACTCGAATTAAAAACTCGAATCAACGAACTAAACGGACCATAAATTAATTTACGAGCCAAGTATGACATGACACGGTGTTATACATGGGCCGTGCTAGGTACAATATGAGTTAGTGGGCTGTGTTGGGCTCAAAATTTTAAGAGAAATAGTAAAAAATAGGCCAATATGAAAAGTTAAGAAAGTATATAGGCCAGTTTTTAGTTATAAAAATTAATAGTTCATAATTTATCAAGTTATGGTTCATAACCAGATAAGTTATGGATAAACTTGTCAAGTTATGGTTCATAGTCAAATAAGTTATAAACAATTATGGACAATAACTTGTCAAGTTATGGTTCATAACCAGACTAGTTATGGACGAAAACAATAATTTAGCCTATTTATTAACTTATGTAAACTATTGACCTATTAATTTTAATTCATCTTATGTCTTGGTCTATTTCTCTCTTTCTCCCAAATTTTAATTACGTGACGCAACACGATATATTACATTGAAAAAATTATATCAAGTTCAATATACGGGCCGTCCTAGGTACAATATGATAATAATATAAATGTTACTTGGCATTAAGTTCAATATATATATATAGTGCATTAAAAAAATTATATCAACTTTTTTTAATAAATCATATTACATTTAAAAAGTATAATAATTTAAGAATAATATTAGGAACACCAACTTAAATTTTTAAGTCTTGTATATAATTAATTTGACGTATGAGTTGTCATGTTTATATTAGTGGGTATTTAAAACATTATCATGCTAATTAACAAAAGAGATTACATTGACTAATAAAAAAAATGACAACTCAAATGTCATATCAATTAATACATAACAATTGAAATATGAATTGGTATTTTAACATTACTTATAATTTAATAGACTCAACAGAAAATCTTTTTTTTAGTAATAAGCGATAGAAAATCTCACCTTTAAAAACTATCATATACTGATATAGCCCACTGGAGAATTCTCCATCAAGTTTATATAACGACACCACTAACTTAGAATTTAAATTTGAGACTTGTTTAGTTTATAGATTCAAATTAAATTATTAAATTTAAAAATTTAAATTTTTAAAATTTTTGTGAAAAAAACACTATAATAGAATTTTTTAAAATTCAAATTTTTATAAGAGAAAAGCTTGTAGCAGAACTTTGAAGCGGAGTTCATCCCCAAGAACGGAGCTAGCTAAGGCTGAGGGGGGCTGCTGACTATTTATCTTTAAAGTTATAATTTTACCCCATATTTTCTTGTTTAATCCCCCTAATTTTTTTTATTTCTAAGTTTTATATTAATTGTTTTAAAAGTTTTCATTTATACCCTATGTAAAATTTATTACTTTGTCCCTCTAAAATTTTTTGATTCTAAATTTTATGCAAGGTATTCAAAATTATTTTATTTACCCACTTAATTTTTACTTGTAATTATATTTTATTACATAAGGCCTCGTTCACACTACAAGAAAAAGGGGTTTTTGTGACGACTTTTTGTCGTCGCAAAAACCCGCATGTCGTCGTAACTAACGGTTTTACGATGACACGTCGTCACAAATAATTTGTCGCAAAACCTTTTTTTGCGACGACAAAGTGTCGTCGCAACTGTATTTGCGACGACAGACGTCGTTATACGCCGTTGCAAAATTCGCATGATATGATCATTTTTTGCGATGACATTTCAAATTGTCGTCGCAAATAATCTTATTTTTTTGCAATGACAAGTCTAAAAAAGTCATCGTAAAAAACTGAAATTAATTTTTTTTATAATTTAAAAAAAATGACAATTAATTAATTTTTAATAATTTTAATTAAACATTATTATGTTGCATACTAAATATAAATTATTAAGATACATTAAAAGTGAAATATAAATTAATATTAAAAACAGTAAACCTAAATAAATTTATAAAATATATTATGAATACTACATGAAGTGCATATATAATGTTCAAAAAAATATAAAAGTCTAAATAAAGTGAAAAATAAAATAGTACATATAACGGAACTAATCGTCTAAGTTTGCAGTATTGCCAATAGCTGAATCATCTTCAGGACTGTCATCATCTGAAGGAGGCAGAAGAGCGGCTAGGGCAACTGGACTTGGATGATTAATCGTAGGTAATTGGATGTTGGGCTGCAATTTAGCCACCAATTCTAACATCTTCACCTGATTCTCATAAATCTTAACTTATTCCTAGTACGATTTCTTTAAATAACGACTCACACGTAGGTCAGGTTGAGCCGATGATGTTGCATCCGAGTATGAACCAGCAGATGAAGGAGAAGCCCCAGAGTAATGCTTTTGGGAGAGTGTCGGACCACACATATCTTATATCCTCTACGCATGTCAAGAACTTGCTCCAAAACCCCATGCTCGTCAAAGGCGGGTCTAGTCGAGCTTGAAGTAGACTGTGTTCTCTGTGTTTTTCTCTCATCCTCCAGGGTGTTCTATATAATAAGACATTATAATTATTTTTACATGTTATAAAACTACTATTTCAGTATAAAAAAATTTAATATGAAAAGTAAAAATACTTACAAAAGTCTGTTCCGCTTGGGGATTAACCCAAGAGGCCCCGCAACGATGTATGTCCGCCCAATTGTCTATGGTAGACATCGACTCTTGGGTCTCCATACTGATCTGTCAAATAAATTACATTTGTTAAAATTCTTAAATTCTAACTAAATTTTGGCAGCATAACGACTTATTTTTTCATATGATCCAAAAATCAAAACCTGTAAAAAAACAATTTTAAAAGATTTCGGCACACCGTAGCTGCAAGATGTGCCACCCAGAACAATCATCACAAACATATAAATACGATAATGAAGTCAAAAAATAAGTACTAACATTCTTATTGCGATGCTGAGAGTATGATACCCGACCATGTAAGCTTGGATACTTTTGGTTACTACAATTAGTTTTATTTGTCTCTGATATTTTATGTTTATGATTAACTATAATAAGTAATAGTTACTTGAAATTATGTATAAAAAATCATCAAGTTCTAACAAATCTATAATTACTTGAAATTTGTCGCCGGAGAACCTATCACAACAACGATCCAATGAAGTTGATTCCTCATGTGTAACACCCTGAAGAATTAATTGAGATTAATTAAGGTAATTGAGATTATTAGTGTGCCTAATCTGATTTAATTAATTGAGTTTAAATAATTCCAAGGTATTTAAATTATTCACAGTAATTTAT